TGAAAGGCCAAAAAAACTGAGAAGTAACAAGTAAATATATGTCTTAAGGAACATAGTAATGTAAGCATGTGATCTCGAGCCCAGCATTTTTTTAAAATATGAGATCAGCTCTAAATAGAAACTAGGTGTCTGGTCTAAAGAACAATAGGCACGAAGATTAATTTTGCTTCTGTTTAGCATTTCTGTCTGTATGAGTTTTATCCAGAAGCCTGAATCTTAGTAGTTAACATTCTGAAGCAGAGTGTCTAAATGAAACACCAAATCGTACCCAGGCAGATAAGTGTGAAAGAGCCCATGTGACCTGTGGCCAAACCAGAATCTAAATACTTTAAAGTCATTCAAATGAAATTTCAAAACAGAACAAAACAAAAATCACTGTTCCACAAAACATATTTCAAAGCTGGATCTAGCTCCAGAGTAAAAGTTAGTGATGCTTGAAGGAAAGATAGGAAAATGGAAAAATGTGGAAATGTCAAGGAGAGGATGTTATTACTGATAATTTTTGGTATAACCAATAGAAATGTAATTATCTGCCTAAGAAAGAGAAGGAAGATCTTTTTCCACTCCAAATCACTTGCAGATTTTCTTCATAATGAGTTGAGCTTCATACCCTCTGATGCTTAAATGAGTCCTTATCGTAAATTCTAAGGTTTATTAAATTAGGTGTTTGACCCCTCTGGGCCCCTCAGACACCACTGATACACTCACTGGTACTTCAGTGGCTAAAGAGAGCTACTAGAAATAGACTGCCGGAGAGTAAACCAAGCAAAGAAGAAGAATTGTAAACAGAAACAGAGAATATTAACAGAGTTTTTGTGATCTAGGACATGTTGCAAGAGCCTTCTTTCTCCCTTCCTTACTGGAATTTTGCGACTGGGAGAAACGTTTGCGATATCTGCACCGATGACTTGATGGGATCAAGAAGCAACTTTGATTCCACTCTTATAAGTCCGAACTCTGTCTTTTCTCAATGGCGAGTGATCTGTGACTCTTTGGAAGATTATGATACCCTGGGAACACTTTGTAACAGTAAGTTCCAAATGACAGCTAGGAGTCAGAACTTCCTTTTAGAAGTTAAGTATTTTAAAGATTAAATATGCTGCCTGGGAGGCCCTTTCATTCTACTAGGGAGTTCAGACTAAAGTCTACTTTTATTAAATAGAATCAGTGTACAGATATTCACTAAATGCCTCGAATATTCAAGGCAATCTGTAAGGTGCTTCAGAGGAAACAAACTGCATACACATTTTTAAATTCCTTTTCTTGAGCAATTTGGTCAGTGCATTGCTAA